ACTGTGGAAAAAAAATAGAACAATTTTTCAGTTGCAAAGAATGCAGAAAGACCACAAGTGGATTTGTAATTGGAATCTCTGGGTTTATCTTGTATATCATGATTGCTTACCTAACAGCCCTAATATTGTGTGGTATCTGGTGGCACTCTGGCTGAGAATCACTGCTTTAAATATAGAGAAATATCTTGTTAAGTGAAGTCTGTATTAAAACTATGGCCTTGGATTGGGATAAAATATTTTATTTTAGGGTTGTGCATTACCATCATGGAAAATTACCATCATGGTTCTGACTACCGTCTATTACTGTGAGATACTGCAATAATACAGTCATTCTGTAGCTTTTTTGTGAAAGATCTGAACAGGTTTCACATCTAGCCCTGTAGCTAGAGGTTTATACTGAATTACAGATCAACCAGACCATGTCCTTGCAAACAGAGGATTGCACCCAACTGTTTGTTTTAGACATTTGTTCAGGCTAGTTTGAAGAGCTGGCAAGTTAAATCCTCTTGACATCATTCAATGAAATAAGCTGACCTTCCATTGGCTGATACTCCACTACTCTCCCTGATTCAATTGCTCAAGTAAAGGGAAAAGCAGCCCCCAGTGACTTTATGACTTGCAGAATTGAAACAATATGGCAAAAGCATGGAAACTGTATTTTTATAACGCAGAACAAGATTTGGATAAAGTTCAGTGCTCAGAAATCAAGAGCTCAGCCTTCTAAGCATGCACAAAAAGCCGTTAGATTGAAATACTTAGCCCTTACACACATTTCTTCTTAAAAATGCTTTACAAATGTGATTGATTTGACAGTGCAGAATGACAGTAAACCATTTGCATTCTGACAATAATATTACTGTCAAGTATAGCTAAATGATTTATGACATGAGCAAAGGTGCACAGAGGAACAGAGCTTTTTGACAGAGCATTTTGGTGGGTTATATTTAGACTGTCTGAACAAGATAACTGTGAGGCAAACATTATTAGAGATAAGAGAAATTTCCAGTCTGCATAAAACAAAAGTACTTACAAGATGGGGAGCTATTTAGAATACATGCTAACTGAAAGACAATTACACAGATACATTATGGAGAAAGAAAGTTAAGAAACAGGGGTCTAGCAAATGTTTGTAGGCAATTGATTTAAAACTCAGTGTGTTCATTTCCACACTGACAATAAAAAAAAATGCTTCCCACATTTTGTGTGGACCTAAATTAAGCTGTAGGTAGGGGCAGCATAAAAACTCATAATTCAATTAGAAAAGTGTTAGGTACATAACTGCATGACAGAATTGCAAGTGCTATTATCCAAACTGCATGAGCAAATAGAGCAACTGTGCATGGTGGCTCTTCCATCCAAATTCTTGATAATGTGCACGCAAACAACATACACTTTAGACAAAAAAAACCCAGGCTTTAGGGTGGGAATCAACTTGAAGCAAGTGAATCAAGCTTGCTTTTTAACAAATTGTCCCCACATATTCTGGCACTGTGGTAAACCAGTATGTCATTACTTAACAAAAGTACACATGAGCAATTAGTGTGGACTATTCTAAGAACTGTAGCAGCGACAGTCACATGGAACTAGATGGGCAAGTGTCTATCCAGTAAGATCTTAAAGAGCATTAGAAACGGTAGCAGTACTCATGGATATACAGGGTCTTTTTGGACTGCACTGGTGAGTTCTGTAAAGGATTCTCTCTCCCAGAGAATTGCTGCACTACAATCCTTCAAAAAATCCCATTGGTATTAAATATTGGAAACTCACTAGTTGCAACTTGCTCTCATTTTCGAATGAGGCAAACTCAAAAGCCAGCCTTTTGTATTTGCCTGCTTGGAAACCACACTACTGCATTATCACTTAACACTGGGCTGTCAAACTCCCAGAAGGCCAGATTAGTGGTGCAGGACCAGTGTATGGGCCAGATGAATAGTGCTGGCCTACCCAACAGGTTAGATCTGGCCCCCATCCCTCCACCCATGCCAGACCCAGTGCCTGCTGTGACCAGTCCAGAGTTGCACCTCTTTTGCATCCTACTCTGAAACCTGGACTGCATCCTGGACCAACCACAGAAGACAGTGCAGGTGTTGGATCCGGCATGCAAGCTGGTGGGGAGGGGGATCCAGTCTGGCTGTGTGCAGCATGGGTTGCAGAGCAAGCACCTTGTGTCCCTGACCCTGCAGACAAGGCCAGTCTGGTATAGGCTGTATATGGCATGTGGGGTCAACTTGAAGCCCAGGGCCACCACCAGAGGCTGAATAATGTGGTTCCAGGGATTGAATCCACCCCATGGGCGTGATCTTTGACACCCGTGACTTAGCACTTGAAAGCTTATATCCATGAATGTGCTCACTGCAATAGGGAGTGACACAAATCATACACAGGGGAGAATTTAAAAATACGGGGAAATAGCTAATCAACACGGCAGCTGAAGTCTTGTTCTATTGCAATTTCTTTCTCGTAGTCTATAAACAGCATCCTTACTGCAAGCAAATTTCTGGCACTGCAGTACCATCTGCTGGGCAGTTGTCATTATTGTCTACACTTTACAACTAGGTGCCTAATGCAAGACTTTGGGAGAACTGAAGCACCTAAATCCAAAATGCTGTTGCTTAGCTCCCATTTAACTGCAGAGGTACTAAAGCCATGGGGGGACCTCACTGTTTGACTTTCAAGTTTGCTGTGTACCTAGTTGTCTAGTTTATGCTATTTGCAGAACTACCTGTCTGAGCAGCTCAGTGCCTAAATTCCAGGCAAGCTCATCAGCATCCAAAAATCAGGCAGAGAACGCCCAAGTCCTCTAAGCAACTTAACTCCCTGTACTTTGAGCACAGTAGGTGGGGTTGTGACAGCACTGCTGTTATGCCTCTCGTTTCATAAAATATCCTACTGCTTAATGCTCCCCAAGAAACAGGATATGGTTTCAATTCCCTTGTCTCCTGAGGTTTAAAGACATCTGCCACTTTCTCAGGAGACTACCCTAACTAGCAAGCCACACACAGAGCTGCTTGAAGGCACTCCTCCTATTGAAGCTGTGCCAGTACACCAAAAAACAAGTTTCATTGGGACAGAGTACAAGAGAACATGATTGTGGGAGAGTTGCAGATTCTAAGCAGAAGTCACCTCTTGTCTGTGTTTTGTCTAAGCATGTTTAAAAAATATATATATACACACACACACACATATATACATACATACACACACACACTTAATCAAGCCTTGGAGACAGGGCAGGTAGGGGAACCTCTGATTTGAGAATCCTGCTGGAGCTTAGGAACCATATCTCATGCCTACCATCTTTGCAGCATTAGTACATGAGTTGTAGGTCCAGCAGAAGAAACTTAAGACACAGTGGGCACACCTACGTGAGACACCTTAATGCACAATGGACTGTTCTACTGCACATTAGCGTGACACGGCAAAAACAGTCCTAGTGTGCTAATACACAATAGAATTAGTCTACTGCACATTAAACATCTCCAAAAAAAAAAAATATATATATTACACCTTTGCTACTGCACATTATTGCAGCTATTGCCTTTAGCTACCTCATATTAGAGGTACTAACCTTAATGTGCAGTAGCAAAGGCACATTAATGAATGTGTAGATGCACCACTTAAGTGGCTTTACCAAAAAAGATTTGTGCATCTCCAGTATTAAGCAGGAGCTGAGCACTAATTCTGAGTATCCAAGGGGCACCCAAACACTGGACCCTTTGTGGATTCAGTTTGCTGTCTACATACTGCAGATGCTTCAGTCAATTTATCAAGTCTTTATTGTAATATATTGCTTTCAGCTGCAACTTTAACCTCATTAAGCATTACATTAAAAAGGAACTTGAACAAAGTTTCAGATGTTTATTCATTCATAAGTAGCAGTTCAAATCAGGAGGAAATGGAAGCAATTGTTTCCCTATTCAGACAGAAGTAGGAGGTATCAGGCCACTAAGGTACAATTGCTAGGCATATTTTATGCGACAAAAATGCACTTATTGTCTAGGCTATTAATTATAAATGATTAAATGATTTAAGGTTTTAGCTCAATATACAGCCACCTAAAATCTCTCCACCTCGAATCTCTGAAATCAGAGATTTAACCTATACCCCTTACTTGGAAACCAGAAGATTTATAGAGTAATGTGACATGGCAGAAAACTCAACCAGCGAGGGAAGTGCATTCAACAGTAATCACTCAAAATTCAATGAGGGGTTTTAAATGTCCAGCTTTCAGCCCCACTGGGGTTAAACCAGCAGGCTGCTAACTATAGTCTGTTAAATTCAACTGCCAAATCATCACATGGCAAATGAGAGGTGATCTGAGGTAACAAAAGCTCAGTGCAGTCATTCCTGCCAGTTCTTAATGGTTATATTATGAGCTTTGCAATTTGGATCTGTTCCTGAAAACCTGTTTTCAGAGGTAAGTGAGTTGGTTGAAATCTTCCCCCCTACCCCTCTTTTAAGGAAGTTTCTAGCATTTATTGTAGAAGACTCCAGACTCAGAAACCTGAAGAGGTTCACAATCAAGCAATATAATTATAACCAAGTATTTACAGATTATGCAAAAAGCAAAATCCTTTGAGAGAGAGTATAAGTCTAAAAGCATTGGATGGCTTGCAGTCACACTGCTTCACAAATACAAAGATACTCATGGAAAACTTCTATGCAAAACATACAGTGAAACGAGTAGTTGACTGTCAAAACTGGACAAAGACTCACTGATGTGTGTGTGTGTGTGTGTGGGGGGGGTGTACTTAGCTTTCCTGAACCTCAGTTTTGAAATCTGTGAATTGGGAATAATATTTAACATCTTATCAAATGTTTTATGATCCTTGGATGAAAAGTAGACTTCTATAATTAAACAAGTCCAATTATAGTAATCTACTGCACTTACTATTATTACTCTCAAGGATCCACTGTAGTAGACTGGAGCAATTTCAGATTTTTAGCCTTTTGTATATTTCCTGAATACTTTCACCAATCACCCACAAAGAAACCATGAAAAGTGTTACAGTTGCTTATCTTTATTATTATTTTAACAAACAGCCTTTAAAGATTCCAATATTGATGCTCTACCAATTATATTTGAAAGGCAATTGTTTTTTTTTAAACAAATAAATAACTGCAGGTCTGTCAAATAAGAAAGCTTTCTTTAAATAGGTGAAACCCATGACTGGAAACTCATAAAAACAATAAAATTTGTGGGATATTTTTTAAACATTATTGGAAGAAGGGAACTGCCAAGGCTCATTATTTAACCAATCAATTAAAAAAAAATGTATATAGTCTACTTGGAAAACATCTAACTATCATCTGCTTCAAGGTTTATGTTGTTCCCAAACTTTGCATAAAGCTGTACTTTCAAATCACATAATATCCTCTGAATTGATTCCACTCTAGATTCTAATGCTTCTATTTCTTCTTGTAAGTTTTTCTGAAAAAGAAAATATTAATTATTAACACCAAAGCAAAATGTTTAGTAGTGATTTATGTATGGACCTATGGGCTGGATAATGCATCAAGCAAAATATATTCAAATTAAAGCCATGAAGTGAGAATGGGACAGAATTCAGAACTATCCATCAAAAGTTCAAATTCAGGTCACTAGTGAATCAGAAATAACTACTCCCTAGTTGCTATTCTGGGACACTGTGTAAAATGATTTAGTGTACCAGTGCAAATTGCTAATAGACAAGGTTCTCTCATCATAAATACACTGAAGCCGAAGAGTGGAAAACTAGTGTTTCAGCTACTCTTTCTAATGACCTCTCTAGGTCAAGGTGAGAGTACAGAGAGCAGGGGCAGGCAAAATACAGTCCACGGGCTGGTTCAGCCTGCTAGGCAATTGCATATGGTCTGTGGGCACCCCCTAATTGTACCCTGCCCAGCCCCTGCGTCTCGCTCCTACCCTAGTGTGCAGAAGGGCCCCAGCCCTTCTGGGCAGAGCAGCTGCTACCACTGCTGCAGCTGCCAGGGGACCTGCTCAGCTTCCCCAGTGGCTCCTTCTGACCTTGCTGCAGTGCTGGCTCCAGGCATCAGGTAGGGAAACAGTGGGGATGGGTAAAAGCTGCAGCTGGGCAGGGGCAGGAAGCATGGGGCTGGGGCTAGTGGCAGCCTGCACTCAAGGGCCTGGTGGGAGCACAGAGCTTGGGTAGGCAGGGTGTGACTGTGAGGAGAGGCTGGGGAGCTGTGGGGACCACCCCCTCCACACACACACTGCCCCCCCATAGCGCACAGCCCCCGCTGCTGGCAGCAGCAGTGGAAGGCACTCAGGGCACTCATGATCTGTGGCACCCGCTGCTGCCTAGTGGCTGTGGCTCCAGTCAAGGCTGCACATGGTGACAAGGAGCGCAGTGAGGCCAACCCGTCTCTATTGTGTGGGGCTCCACGTAGCACATGTGCAGCACCCACACTCACAAGCCACCAGGGGAAGTCCCATACGACGGGGCCTTTGCCGCCACGTGCAGTTGCTGGGACTGTCAGAAGTGGTAGAGCCCTACTTCATGCTTCTATGGCGGCAGCTGACTCCATCGCACACGGTTTCCCTTGGTGGCATGCGAGTGCTGTGCCACGCATGGCCCCATGCAGTAGAGGTGGGCCAGCCTGGCTGCACTCCTTGTTGCCATGTGCAGCTGTGGCTGGAGCCACGCGCAGCAGTATCTGCACAGGCCACAAGCACCCGCTACCTACTGTTGCAAGCAGCAGGAGCTATGCACCATGGGGGGCTGTGTGGGGGGGGGGGTCCCCACAGTCCCCCACCCTCCCTTACACTCCCCCCAAAACATACCCTACGCCCTCCTCACATAACCACACCTCTCACAAACCCCACGTGCAGCCCCTCCACCATACAGCCCCCCACCCCCAACCACACCCCATACACAAAACACAAAAGTAAGATTTTATTTTTGACTTATTATGCAGTCACCTCTATATATACACTACACAAATATAAATCATGGGAAAAATATTTTTTTGGAAATAAAATTAAAATGTGTTATAGTAGATGTTTGACATTTAGTATGCGATTTGTTTTTTTTCTGGTTCAGATAGCAGTCCCCTCCCAAAATGAGTACTTCTGGGGGTAAGGGGTGGGACTTCCAGTGGCAAAGGTCAGTGGGTGGGGGCAGGACTTCTGGTCCCAAGATGGTGACCAGGCAGCGGGGCACCTGTCAAGGGGCAGGGCTACTCTTACAGCCCTTGACAGCTCACCAAAACTCATTAAGCGGCCCTCCAGCCAAAATAATTGCCTGCCCCGGTGTAGAGGAAGATTCTACTGCCACTGCTCATGTTGCCCTTGTGCCAAATTTAACCAGTTTCAGACTAGGACAGATCCTGCACCCTGTCACAGCAGAGGTATGCAGAAAGACAAACCAATTCATCACACTCCATCCATTCACCAGGAATGCTGATCTCTATTTCTTACTGTAGCATCAAGAAGACACAAAACTCCCTCTCCCTCACAAACCTTTGCTTCTTCCAACATCTCTTGCGTCTCCTCTTGGGAATGGCTGATGAAGACATCTCCAATCTGATACGGTATCAGAAGTGAATCATCATCATCGAGCATCATAGTGTCATCACATGCATCCTCCAAATTGTGAAGTTGTTTCTATAGAGTCAAGACACAGTAAGAAAGCTGTTGCTTTGTCCTGCTAGTTATTGCAAAAAATAAAATGGATTAACAAACTAGTTGAGCTTTGCAATACACTCTTTACATGTATGTTTAACTTTAGTAGCATATTAACACTGTAACCCCATTAGTTTCAGTGGAATTGCACTAGCACAAATCTACACACGATACTCAATCTTTCTATGCTAATCTATTTCCTAGACACAGGAAACACCGGAATTTCAAACTCCTGAACATAGTGTTACACAGGAAATGATGAGTTCAACTGGAGAAGTTGGGGTTTGGTGCAAGAATCATGAAGTGTGTTATGAGCTGGCTAAATTAGTGAGTTTCATCGAAATAAGACCTACCAGATTGGAAGAAAGGTTTCGAGTCAAGTTTTTTGAACTACTGATTTTAGTATTATCCATCTTGATTCTATGTATTACGTTATATAACAACCAAGGGTTGTGCTAGTCTAATCTATGTATAAACATATTTGGGAGGCACTGCCAATATACTTTTTTAATCTTAAAGAAAAACAGATTTAAGGAGGAAAATGTGGAACATTTCTGGACACCCCAGAGACTGGTGTTAGCATCCTTGAAATTAGGGGCGGCCTGTTCAGTACCAACGCAGAACTAATATTTCCAGTTTGGGATGACAGTGACACGGAGACAGATGAAACCGATACTGTCCCAGAAAACACAGGGTAGTAAATAATCTTAAACAAGCTTATTTTCCTCTAGTATTGGAGAGGTGTCATAGCTATGATGCTCCAGGATTTTTGTAGGCGATACCTTTATTGCAATAACTGCATACTATTTTAAGATGTCACAAAGTAAACTTTAAAATCCAGTGCAGACGCCATGTCCTTTTGCTTTCACGTACCCGCGACTCCAGACCTAGACCCCAAACCTAAGCATCTCCATCACGCACTCGGTAGAGCCGGGGACGCGCAAGCAGGTAGCGGGTAGGTACCTTTTTCACTTCTATTTCTTCTTTCAGCTCTGTGATCCTGCTGGTATTTCTGGCAAATTTGTTAATTTTCTGTTGATCTTCAAAAGTAACATTGACATCCTCCGCAGCCTGTTCAGGAAGAGAGGTCAAAGCAAAAGCTACGTGGATATTCAGTGTGCCGAGGACAGAAGCAAACCCTGCCCTGCTTCACCCTCCCGGGACGCCTCGTGGCCCGCAGGAGCCCCACGAGCCGCCCCGGGGCTCCTGTCAGCAACCCCACCTGGCCCGCGCGGCTTCCCCCGGCCGACAGCCGCGGGTCGGATCCGGGCCCCTCGGGGACAACGGCTGCAGCGGCCCGCGGCGCTCAGACACTGCGGGCCCCGTCGGAAACGACCGCGTTTCTCCCACCCTCC